ATTGGAATTCAGTTCTATGAGGAGAGAAGTAAGAAGTGAATTGTTGCCTGTAATGACTGTGCTGAACACAATTGTACTGAAAAAGTTAGAACAGTAATGTAGATCTCACAGTAGCTCATGGTTTGTTTGTGGTGGTTTGTCTCTCATTCTCTGTACAGTGCACTCCCTCCAGTGCTTCACCTGTGTGGGTGAGGACTGCAAGGTCATAACCGAATGCCCCCCATCTGCCAACTTCTGCAAGACCGAGGCCACCGGTACGTGCCGAGACATGTCCTCATCCTGCCACTTCACTATTGTGCAAAACTACAGCTTTGTGCCTCTGTAAAACAAGTCAGGCTTGTGAAGATGCAGATACAGAGGCATATTATTTGTAGTTTTAGAAAATGGCAGGCCACATATACATGGTTAAAGATGTCAAGTAACCTAAAAATTATTATTAAATATGAAAAATATTATTACATATTATATTGAATAGTATTTAATATGGCTGTGCCACCTTGACTACATTAGATTATAGTGTATGCCAGTTGTTTACCAAACTGTTACTGTGGCAATACCCTTATAGCTTTTCTACCTTCTTGTGTGTGTGTGTGTATACATACATAATATAACATATAATTACGTATATACATATATAAATGGTGTATTTAAAATATGAATGTCTTTTTTCAGCACATGTTTTGTCCCGCACATGTGAGGAGTCCTGCACACCAGGGGAGAACGTCCACTGCTGCGATCACGACTTGTGTGGCTGAACATCTCTTTGTCCAGTCTACAAAGAGCCTTGTTATGGATGAAGAATCATTTATCAGTTATTAATCAGCAAATTTAAAATGTAAACACGAATCAGTATATAGAGAAAATGTTATAAGGCACTTAAAAAACTCTAAATAAAAATATTTGTCTGCATGAATGACTTCCACTTAATGTCCTGCTTATTTTTACTTTTAAGACAGTTGTATTGCTTCAGGTGTGTGAAACAAAAAAATCAGTAATAAAAAAATACATTAACACTTTAGTTTGGGCATCAGTTCTCACTATTAACTATGACTTTTGCCTCAATAAACTCCTATTTTTCTTAAATTTTAGTCTTGTCTGCCTCAGAATCTTCAAGGTGTGTTTTGGCAAAGCTCAGTCGTGACTGCATGTGGCCTTTCTTGAGGAGTGGCTTTTTTCTTGCAACCCTCCCATACCAGCCACGTTTGTGGAGAATTTGTGATATTGTTGTCACATGCACACAATGACCACTCTTTGTCATAAATTCCTGCAGCTGCTTCAGAGTTGCTGTAGGACTCTTGGTCGCCTCTCTGACCAGTTTCCTACCTGCTCTTTCATCCAGTTTGGAGAGACGTCCTGATCCAGGGAGGGTCTGTGTTGTACCAAATACCTTCCACTTCTCAATAATAGACTTTACTGTGCTTCTAGGCATTGATAAAGCCTTTGAATTTTTTTGTATCTATCTCCTGAATTGTGCCTTTTTTTGTGCCATTGAGAAGGTGATTATCTACACCTGATTGAGTTTACATGTCATTTTTAGGAGGTGGTGATCATTTTTCCAACTCAGTGATTCTGGTTTTTTTTTTGTTTTTTTTTTCTGACATGTTGGTGTTATATCTTTCCATAAATTCCTGCAGCTGCTTCAGAGTTGCTGTAGGACTCTTGGTCGCCTCTCTGACCAGTTTCCTACCGGCTCTTTCATCCAGTTTGGAGAGACGTCCTGATCCAGGGAGGGTCTGTGTTGTACCAAATACCTTCCACTTCTCAATAATAGACTTTACTGTGCTTCTAGGCATTGATAAAGCCTTTGAATTTTTTTGTATCTACCTCCTGAATTGTGCCTTTTTTTGTGCCATTGAGAAGGTGATTATCTACACCTGATTGAGTTTACATGTCATTTTTAGGAGGTGGTGATCATTTTTCCAACTCAGTGATTCTGTTTTTTTTTTTTTTTTTTTTCTGACATGTTGGTGTTATATCTTTCAGTTGGATGTTATAAGCTGCACTGAGTAAATACAGCTGGATAAAACAAAAACTGTGTCCATCTTAATTTTAGACTGCAAATCAACAAAATGTGATTATTTTACAGGAGGGCGATTCTTTTCTATACCTACTGTATGTATGCTAATAACCAACTAGTTAATTTTGAGAACTGGTCCCTAAACTAAAGTGTTACCAAAAATATATATCAGAAAGATTCAGGCTAGAAAGTCTGAATAAAAAGTTCTGATAATAACTGAACAAACTAGGCATCAGATCAAACTCATGTGGATTCTCATTTAAATGATCAAGTTGGGTGGTTGGACTTGACAGGGCGACTAGAATACAAATGACCCTTTTATCGCACTATGTTTCTGAAAGAGTGTTTCCACTGTAAGGCCAGCTGTAAGTTATGCTGTTTGGTGTGTTTAGTGTCAGGACTAACATGGAGGGGCCAACATTACGATCCCCTAATAAATATCTGCAAGGGTGACTGCGGTTGCCTCAGCCCCGGTAACTGAGGGAATGTCTGTCTGAGACCAAACACTCTAAAGAGGTGAAAAGTTCAAAGAGGAAAGCCTGTTACTGTACAAGAAGCTTTTCCATAGAGATGTCCAGTTGTTCTCTCTTCAAATCTTCTTCATTTTTTGTGTTAGTCAGTCTCTTCTGTTTATTGGCACGCTTGGTTTTGCGTCAAACAGCTAATTCATGTCTCCAGTGTAACGAGGCAGGAGCGAATAGCAGAATCTCAATGCTGATCATCAGCCAAGACAAAGCCACAACCAGACTCTGAGACTGAAACGCCACTTGTGAGCGTTTACGCTTGTTTATGTGTGTGCGTGTCGATTTGGAAACAAACTGTGTGTAAAAGAATCGGAGGAATACACATTTAAATGATGTGGCAATCATGGCTAACACAACAACTAGCAAGTCCAGGACAAGCAAATTTTGCCAAAAAATCCAGCCAGGTGCTCCACTTAGAAGCTGACAAGAGACATTTGTTGTGCTTCTAATGCTGCTGTGCAAATGTTTTATACACAAGGGTTCTTAACCTAAACTAAATTGAAACTTTTTGTGCTAAACAAAAACTAAATGACAACATTTTCATTAAATAATTTGGAAAACACAATAATAAAACGCATGATCATAAAATAACTAAAACAAATATTCATGATTATGAATGAAAATGAAAAATTAACTAAATAGTTTGTTTTTTTTGTATTGTGTGTTTATAGACTGCCTTCATTACACACGAAAATGTCAGCAGATTTGAGATATCGAGCCCTGAATTGTTTTTTTTTTTAAGTTTAAATGTTAAACTAAGCTACTGAAAGGACCAATTAAAAATTAAATTAAATTAAAAACTACAATTAACCTGCTACATTACACGTCTTACTACATTTCACTACATTATAAATATTATGCATGTAATATCCATGGTATTTTGAAATAAAAATGAAAAATAAAATAAAAATGAAATATTTACTCATATTGTTAATCTTAATAAGAAAACTGATGAAGAAATACAAAGAACAAACCTATCATTCTAATCAGCACTTTTGGTGTCTGCCTGCAGCATTAAAGCACTAAAAATACAAGTTTATCACGTGAAGTCAAAGAAATGCATTACTTCTCGGTCACAGCTGGTCTAACAACATACACAAGAAAAACACTATTACTTTCTCGATGGTCAAAAAACCTGGGGAACACTGTGACTGACAACTGAATGCTTGCAGTAAATGCAGAAACTAAAATCTTAGACTTCACATGTCACTTCTTTATGTGGACCTCATTCCTGCCTGAACATAATGTTTCACTTTGCACTATATTTCACTGCACAGAGAGAAGAGGGGGAGGAAGCGCTATAAATTCAGTCACTCCTTTCCTTGATACCACAATGGTGTGTATTCACAGAGAAACGCAGTTAGTACTGTGACTGGCTTAGACTGACTCCAAACAGACAAAGACAGATGGTGAGAAACACACTGTTAGCAAGAATCATGAACAAGCACATACAATAGGTATTAGAGAACATATATTCAAGATTAAAAACAAGCACAATTTCAATGAAATACAAGGTTTTGTGCATATTATTTTATTTGAAAATGTTTGATACACTGGACGTTGCACTGCAAGTCTCACGTCAAGATACATAATCATATACTGTGTATCTAACCTATTGGCTCGTATTCTTTTGCTTATCCCAGGGTTCTCAACTAGACTTACTGTGACATTTCTCTGAGACATTTCTCAATCTTTGGTACAATACTGATTCTTAGCTGCCTAAACGAAAAACTAGCAGCTATTTGAGATCATATTTGAGCCATTCAACTGTTTTTGAGGAGGCCAAAATACTTTCAAAACAATATAAAAGGAGGACAACTGGTCCTGTGGTCAGTGTTGGTGTGCCCGTATGCTGGACACCTGTCATTCAAACCCTGAGCTAAACAAAGTCGTCAAGCTGAGTGGAAATTCGCCCCTGGCATCTACCTACTCTTTCACTTGAGCAATACCCTATGACACATTTCCAAAGAAAGCGTAGTGCCTTTTCACACACTTTTCTCAGTTCCTCATAAACATGGCAAGGCGCATGTGTATAATACAACTTCCTGCATTTCGAATAGAATGGCAGAAGTTTGAGGTCAGTAAGACTTTTTTTTGTGTGCATTTGATAACAAAATAGACCAAGAACAGTAATACTATGAAAAAAATGATTACCATTCAAAAGAACCTTTTTTTATTTTAATGCTTTAAAATGTTATTACTATATTGAAAATATGAATTTACTCCAGTCTTCAGTGTCACGTGATCCTTCAGAAATCACTCTAATATGCTGATTTGCTCAAGAAACATTTCCTATTATTATTATTATTATCAGTGTTTAAAACAGTTGTGCTGCTTAATATTTTTTACGGACATAAATTTCAGGATTCTTTGATGAGAAGAAAGTTCAAAAGAACAGCATTCATTTGAAATAGAAATCTTTTGTAACATTATAAATGTTACTTTTGATCAATTTAATGCATCCTTGCTGAATAAACACGGTTTCTTTCACAAAAATCTTACTGACCCTACCCTATGTAAGCAGTGCACATGTTGTTTTCTTAACATAAAAACTAAATCTTTCTTTTACACCTCTTATTTTTCTTTCCAACACTGCAACTCTGAATACATAAAAGGCAAATATCTGTGCAAGTCCTTCCTAAGTGGCAGCAAATATGCATATCTGTGTGTACATGCATTTCTGAGAATGATTCCAGGCAGTGGTCACTTCCTGTGACAACCAGCATCAAAATCCTGTCTGCATGAGATTCTCTACGACATCCTCGGGTGAAAAAAAAACACACAGATAAGCAGAAACAGACACACAATAAACACTCAAAAAACATGACTTGCACAGATCAGGCACGGCATAAATCCCCAGAGCTCAATTTCCAGCCAGTAATAAACATGTAAAATCATGTTGTAGTCTCTGCAAAACCAGCTGCTGTTACAATTCTTGTTTCTAACTCATCTTCTGTTCCTAAAAGCATAACTCGGTTCAGAGTCACTATATAAAAATAGATTTATACATATACATATATACTCGTATATAAAAATGGCTGAACATTGGGATATAAATAAAAGTGAACAAGGCTTCACATTCTGTGTAACAAATGAACAATTTGGTATATTCAACATTCATATTCAAAAGTGCATCTGATCCAAATGAGTCCAATATACTGCCACACAACACTTAAGGCACAACACTTTTGTAATACATTTTCTTTGGCTGGGCTGGAGAGAAAACAACTATACATCCTAATGTGCTCTCAATATCTCTCGCCACACCCAAAATAACCAATAAAACACCTTACGAGATTCCCAATTTAACATCTCATCATTATGGGAATAGCATTAGTGAGATTAGCTGCATTTTAGGTACTGTACTGCTGCTCTCTACAGGACACTATAAGGCACTACTGCGGTACAAAACTACACATTACACCTCAACCAAAGAACATTTAGACTTTAACATTTTAACCTCATGCCCTGATCCTTGGCATCTGACCTCAGTCAAAAAACGAATATAAGCCGCTTTCTGTAACAGACTAAAACAGTTCTTACTGAAGTGCAATCCTATTCTCAACATATAAGATTAATCATAAATGCAAACCATTCGAGACTGACGTGCGCAAGACCCTCATTCATCTGAGTCAGGAATAAACCGAGACACAATTATTACGTTCCCTTTAACACTAAATGCCTGGAGTCATAGAGACAATGGGTGCACACAGGAATCCGTGTAGAAGGGGAAATGGCACATAAAAACATTGACTTCATATCTCTGCTGTGGACTGTATGAAACATTCATTACCAGGAGACTTTCTTGGTGAAACTTATTTGAGCTTCAGGGAGACTGACTCCTGCTGGCTTTAGAAGGCACATTTGGCAGTTGTTGCAAGAAAAAGTCTGGTTTGAAGCAGCTCAGTGGCCCAAACCTCATCCTGTGACGGCATCAATCTATTTACTCCTGGAATAAAGAGTGTGTGCATCACGAAAGTCCTGTAGCACCCACTGCTGTCCCAAAGACATCACATTTCAAACCATTAGTGAACAAACCAGTTTTGTGACCTAATCCAGGACCTAATCCAATCCAGGTCACATGTTCTGGAAACGCAGAGTACCTTTGAAACTGAGCGTATCACTCTTTGAACAAGGAAACTGAGGGGTTTTAATCTGTGGAAGCAGCTAGATGGACAGTGGGCCTCCTCAACACAAGATCTGGGAGAAGGGATGTCTGAGTAACTCCTCTGCACTCGGCCGGTACTTGGCCTCCACGAAGATGCAGCGGAGGAAGTCCCGTGTGTGCTCGGAGATGTGAGAGGGCAGCTGGGGGTTGGTGGGCTGAGTGGCGATCTTAAATATGGCTGCCATGGCCTCGAATTCAGCCCACGGGGGCTTTTCTGTCAACATCTCCACCACAGTGCAGCCAAGACTCCTGTTCACACAACACAGTTTAAGAAAAAGGACCCGTTAAGTTACATGATATTGTTTATTTAACATTCCACGTGTTTTCAAGTACAGTTTGTATATAAATACTATGGTTAAGCTATGTGTAGTATAGCAAAACCGTGGTTAATTTGAAGTTACATTACAACTATAAAAACCATGTTTTTTGCATTTATTTGTAGTAAAACCACGTATAATTTTTGTAAAGGTACATATGTAATTAAAACATTATGCAATTGAGTGCAGAAATGAGGGTAAGTAATCTTACCTGACGCTGACATTACAGTAGCCTGTTTTAATAGTTTACACAATCTGACTCTTGATTTTACTTTTTTATTTCCTTGCCGGGATTCAAACACATCAAAAATGTGCGCAAGTAGTAAGAGCATCTACGATAGTTCACGTTGGCCAAAACACACAAGTAACTGCGCTGTGAAAAAATAGTGTTGGCAATCACAGACATTCGCATTCGGACGGGATTAGATTTCTCAGAGGATCACGGAGTTTGCCAAAAAACAGCAGGTAATTTGCTCTGGAATTATTACAGAGTTTGTGTGAGAAAAACACAGACCTGGCAGATTCAGACGGTATTAAAGTCACAAAGTATGTCTCTGAAACACAAATTTCTCTAATGACCCCCTGGAAAACTAGTCCCGTCTGAATAAGGCTTTAGTCAGCACTAACAGTAGCTGTCTAGCTGATGTTCAGTTTGCATACTGCTGCTCTCCTTCTAGTCACTATTGAGCTCTTTCCTCTCATGATTAAAGCTCCAGGTGAAGGGTTGCCAGTTATCACAAAAAGAGCAAAACAATCCCCTTAAAAATGCAGTATAATAAGCAAATACCAGGGAACAAATTTAAACAATATAACTAGTATTACTAGTATCCTAGAAAATTAAACGGGAGTAAATGTAATTTATTATGAATAGAATATTTCAATATAAAATATTCAGATATTATAAACTGATTGAAGAAAACAATAACACGAGATTTAAGAATAATTCAGAAACAATTTATTTAAAGTTTAATTGCACCTATAAATTGCATTTAATATCAATCCTTTTGGGCCAGTTAATCTAAAAGTTGAGTGTGTTTTTACTAAATTAATAATTTAAAATACTTTTAATATCTTAAGCATTTGAGTTTATTTATTATATAAAACCCTTTTTGTAGGTTTTCAGAATAACTACATATAAAAATAGCTATATCGTGAAATATATTGTTACCGTGGAATAAAATGAGTCATACCCATGGATGTGTGCACTTCTTTGTTTTTTTATTCATAAACCAAAAAATTGCTCTCACCAGACATCTGCCTTCCGGCCATACCCCTCTCCACTGATGACCTCTGGGCTCATCCAGTACGGTGTTCCAGTAACAGAACGGACCCCAGTGCTGGACATGCAGATGGTTTGAAGCCGCTTACTGGCACCAAAATCTCCCAGCTTCACATTGCCAGCTGAATCTCGCAGGATGTTGGCACCTGAACGCACCGGAGGAAGTGACCAGGGAGAGTAGTTAGAATGCAATGGACCGAAAGATCTTTGATCCAGTTTTCCTCTTGTTATATGACTACAAAAAGATTTGCAAGTTATAATAGGTGATCCAAAACTATTAGAACATGAGAAAGTTGTACTCAAGTAGCCACTACTCATATATATATATATATATATATATATATATATATATATAAATAACACAGTATTTGACTATGTGATGTCTAATGCCAAACGGTACCTTTGATGTCCCTATGGACGATCATGTTGCTGTGCAAGTAGGACATGCCCTCCAGAATTTGTCTGGTATACTTGCGTGTCACATTCTCTGTCAATGCCCCATAAGCCTTCAGCTGGTCTTTGACTGAACCCTGAGGGTCAAAGACCACAACACCAGTGTCACATTGAACTCTACAGAACCATAGTATTGCTAAAAAACAGGGGTGCGATGACACATTACAACCCTTATAATAAAAATTATTTATTTACAAGAAAACATTAGCTGTGATAAAGCACCAAAAATGAAAATTCCGTCATTCCGTCACCCTAATGTCATTCCAAACCTTTCCTTTGTTATTTTTTCTCTGGAACACTAAATAAGTAGTTTCCATATATCTTTTACATACAACAACAATTTGTAGTGATATGAACTGTCATCATATTTGATATTTGATTCGAGAGTTGCAGCGGAGGCTGCAAAAGTCTCATTCAAAGATCATCTTTGAATGAGACTTCTGGACTGTTACTCACAAAAAGTCATCATATGGCTTCAGAAAACTAATATAGATAATATAAAAACATCTAAATACATATATATATATATACACAAATATACACTACCATTTAAGTTTGGGATTGGTAAGATTTTAATCAAGAAATTAAAGCTTTTATTCAGCATGAATGCAGCAAATTGATCAAAAGTAACAGTAAAGTTGTTTATAATGTTACAAAAGATTTTTATCATTCATCAAAGAAATAATTTATTCCACAGTTTCCACAAAAGAAAGTAAGTAGGAATAAATTCAAATTTAAAATACTTTAAAATAAATTCAATAAATGCAGCCTGGGTAAGCATTCAAGACTTTTTTCAAAAAAAAAAAAAACTTACAGACCTCAAACTATTGAACAGTAGTGTATATATTCAAAATATAGTGTACAAGTCATGTGGACAACTTTTGTATGTTATGGTTGGCTTTTGTTCTATTTGACAAAAAAGTCTTGATAGCCAGTGGTCACTATGAAAAAAACATGAGATTCTTTTTGTGCATTTCTTAGAAAAAGTAACAGTATACAGGTTTGGAACAACATGAGGATTATTAAATCTTGACAGAATTAAAATTTTTGGTGAACTAGTCCTTTAACAAGACTTGTTGCTTTCCCAACACTTGATGAGCCAGTGCTGTGCCAAACTCACTCCGGGCATATACTCCATGAAAATGGTGAGGGTCTTCTCATTATGGTCTCTAAGGCAACCGTAGTACTGAACGATTCGTTCATGATGCAGGTTCTTCAACAGCTGTATCTCACACTCTAAAGCACTCACCTCCTGCAGAAAGGGGGGCAAGAGTCATGACACGACCACAGCTGAGCCAACTGGCTGTGACCAGAGGGGGGTATGAGTGAGAATACTCATCAACTGAAAACATAAAACCACAACACACTAATGCCAAACAATCCTCTGTGTGGTTAAGAGGCCTTTTGCTTTTGAGTGTGTAAGCATATGTATGTGTTCGTGTCAAGTGAGGGCATGATCAATGAGAAATGCGTTGTTAGACTACCCCACTTCCCCTCGACTCAAAACCCCCCTCTGGCCGACCCACACAATCACACACAGATACAGGAAGTGACAGTGCATGTTTTTGCAATGGCAGACAGGAAAGGATTTAAAGAGTGGGGGGAAAACTTTCAGATGGAAGAAAAAAAAATGCTGGCAAACTCAAAAAAAAGTGCAAGAAAAAATGTGAATCATAAAAAAAAATATTTTAAAAAAGTGTAGTACCTTGCTGGTCTCTGGACTGGAAGGGTCAAAATGAACCTGTTTTGCTGCAAGTTCCCTGCCTGTGTCCACATCATAGCACAAATAAACGCTTCCAAACGCACCCTGGCCTAGCAACTTCCCCCTACGCCACGTCACTGGAGCTGTAGGGGCTACATACATGAACATATCATACATCAAGATACTGCAATGAATGAAACAAATGGATTGACAATTTCACACAAATACAAACATTTTAAATACATCAAAGCAAAAATGTTTATAAACACAACCATAATCTACAACATCATGATCAATATCCCACTCACACTTATGTGGGACTGGGCGGTCCTGTGGGCGGAGTCTGGCTTGAGTATCAACCAGCTGCCAGCTCCCCAAACTCTCCTCACTGCCGTTCAGTGAACGCCGTGAGGGCACCAACGTGAACAAGTTTCCCTGGGGACGACGGATCCGTGGAAATGTCCGTCGACCTGAGGAGCAGCATTATTTCTATAAATCCTGACACGGGACGAACTGGAGTGTGTATGTGTGAGTATAATAAGTTTGAGTGTTTCATACCTTCACTGTGGTCTTTATGATGCAGCGACACATGATACCTGCGAGGGTACGTCCCTCCCTTCCCTACAATCTTATCATATACATGGTTTTCCCGGTCTAAAAGAGGAGATGGATATTCGGGTCAATGGAAAAGCAGATTTTAATACTTTATCAATGTTTGCAGAACCATAGTATCTTTATTGAGGTGCACCTGCACAGTCCTGTCGGTTGTCAGGGTAACTCTTAACCCTGTGTGTACGAGGTTTCCTGAGTGAGGGACTACGAAACAAGAGACACCAATAAATGCAAAATAACACAGTGACAGGTGCTTACAATTACAGTATTATTCAAATACATTTCATATTGTATTTGTCTCCTCACCTGTCAGAGTTGCTGTCAAGTGACTGACAGCTGCCGGACACGGAGTTTTCTGCACTGCTCCAAGGATCCAGCACCTTTAATTACAGGTGAATTATAAGTTGAATGCCTTGTTTATAATGGGTTTTCATGTTTTTGAATCATCACTTCAGCCTGACAGGGCATCATCACAATATGGTGAGGGTCGTAACATTTCCGTCACATGCTTGAGGTATTCGGCCAATCACAACGCACTGGATAGCTGGCCAATCACAGCACACCTCGCTTTTTCAGACCGATGAGCTTTGTAAAAATCCACACGTTTCAGAAAGGTGGGGCATAGAGGAGAAACAATAATGTACAGTATGTGGAAAATAATGTGTTTTTTGAACCTTAAACCGCATAAACACATTTCATTACACAAAATACTGTTCTTTTTTGCAGCATCATATGACCCCTTTGAATGGACTCAGGTGGCACAGCAGGTGATTAGGTGACTGTATTTCATTTTAACAGTGGTATATAATGTGGCATATACTTGAATTCTCTCATAGATCATATGGCATTTCTATGGGAACATCTCACCGTTCCGAGATACCCCTGACACCTATTCTGTACTTGAAGTCTATGCTGCACATGTGGCTCTTTTTCCACACTGGCTGCAAGAATATGCAAGTTAGCAATGTATATATGAATTGAAGGAAATACAGTAACTGCAAAAGTTAGCATGTTGCCAAATTACAAATTGCCATTATTTTGATAATTAATTTCTGCTTTGAAGCGTAATATCCAGCACTTATAAGCGCTGACACAGCATTTCACATGTATAATGCATAGAATAGAATAGAATAGATATTTTCAAATATAAGTACACTACTGTTCAAAAGTTTGGGGTCAGAAAGATTTTTTTAAAGAAATTAATACTTTTATTCAGCATGGATGCATTAAATTGAACAAAAGTGACAGTAAAGACATTTATAATGTTACCCAGAAAAGTTATATATATCAAACAAATGCTGTTATTTTGAACTTGCAAATGTCTTTTTCCACAAAAAAATGTTGCGCAGCACAACGGTTTTCAACATTAATATTAGAATGATTTTTGAAGGATCGTGTGACATTGATGACTGGAGTATGGATGCAGAAGATTCAGTATTGCCAGCACAGGAATAAATTACATTTACAAATATATTATTTTCAATTATTATAATATTTCCAAATATTACAGTTTTATTGTATTTTTGATAGGCTGCGCGATTAATCGAAATTAAATCGCAATCGCGATTAGGCAAAAGCTGCATTTGTCATGCGCATCTTGACAGTGAAGCACGGTTCTGTGATTTGTTGTAAATCTCCATCTGAAGACCAGAGGGCAGTCTCACGCGGAAACTCCAAATACATCCAGCAGAAGAAACCCAGGAAATCCCTATAGGGGTTGCTGAATAAACAGAAGATTTAACTGCTTTCATTAATTAAATTTGACTAATAAACACACGACTACGACAATATATGGTTTATCTGAGTTTGTCTAATTATAATTTATATTATAATAAAGTATATAATAATGCAATGCTAATCGACATAACCTTTATCGATGCTTAGAATACTATGAAATATGTTTACGTGCCTTATTCTGTCTAAGAAGCCACATCATCTCACAGAAGGACTTATTTCACGCAACTGACGTTATGAAGTGAGTTTGGAGTAAAAACATGTTATTAAATGGGGTATTTTCACGTGGTTTCAGATGGAGCAGCATTTACTACACAGAGCCGTAGTTCTCTGACAAGCTACGCAAACAGCTTTCATAATCGCAGAACGATTTCTTCGATTTCATAATCGCGCGATTAAATCGTCTGCGATTATGAACGCGATTTTGCGTAGCTTGTCAGTGAATTATGGCTCTGTGTAGTAAATGCTGCTCCATCTGAAAGCAGGTGATGGAGATTTACCACTAATCACAGAACCGGCTTTACTGACGAGATGCGCATGACAATCGCATTCGATTAATCGTGCAGCCCTAATTTTTTATCAAATAAATTCAGCCTTTCAGGCTTCTTTTATTAAAAAAAATAAAAAATCTCAGACTCCAAACATTTGAACGGTATTGTATATAAATATAAACTGATATATCAAAATAATTCTGATTTACAACGCAATGAATACATCAAAAAATCTGTAATAGTTTTAGAGCACCCACTGACATATTTAAGCATGTGACTAAACTCACACACTGGTCGTTGGTTTCAGGTATGAACTCCCCCTCGCTATTGATGCTGGTGTACGATCCCTGACGTGCAATTCGCTGTTGGCACTCAGGAACGTAACCGGGGGGTGGAGAACTTCGCCCAGTGTTCTGAGAGCCTATGGAAGGACAAGACAATAGACATAAATGTTTCAACTAATAATCTGACATTTGTATACTTTTGTCTGGTAATACTGTTATGGTGGCAAACATGTATCTCTGTCAGACTGTTATTTACATCACTTTGGTGTGAGATTGAGAGTGTACGCATGCAAAAATTTGTATTCAAATCATGTTTACTTCATGATTTTGTCCATTTGTATTTCAGTCAGTACAGTGAAATGGACACCTTACAATTTATATACAATAATATCTATGTTTTCAAAAGCAGTGTTAGTGTGCAATAAACAAGTACAAATCAGGACTCTACAAACCAGTACAGGTACAAATTTGTACATATTTAATCAATTACACTGCTAATAGTCATTAATAATGCTCCTGTCAAATAAAGCATCTGAATAACTCTATTTCAGGTATGGCCTTTCTGTTAGACTTACATCATATTTTTTCCAAAATTCTTTCATCTTTTCCCACCTTATGTTTGTTCCATTTAAATTTTTCTGAATTACGTTTTAATGATTAAAATTACTAATCAAAAAACGAATTAATTAAAATAATGAAATAACTTAGAATATAATAACAATTTATTAAAAGTTACACAAAATGTAAATTTTTATGGGGTTTATTTTGTCCCTAAATTCCATATATATATATATATATATATATATATATATATATATATATATATATATATATATATATATATTTA